TTTTGTTATATAGTTTTCTAAGCAACTCTCAGGCTACTACCGCAAAACTCTGCTTCACACAGATATTAAGGAAAACATAAAACGCACATTGCAAAGAGGCAACACGCCTGTGACGGTTGATTTTACGATTTGAACTTGCTGAAGATCGAGTAGATCACACGGGCATTGCGGCCTTTCTGTAAACTGAGAATTCGCGATTTCGCAATCTCAAACATCGACCATCATTGTCGTCCATTCGAAGAATCATTTCCTCAGGTAGTTTCAGATGATCGAGCCAAACTACGCAGAAGGTAAGAGTTATCGTTATTGTACCAGTAGAAAATGAGAAAAATTAGGAACTCCCGTTTACTAGGACCAGAATGAGTTTTCGCCATTTCCAAATCTTGATATTTTAAGGAAAATAATTTTTCGATATATATTGTAAAATTGACGCATTTGATATTTTAACTCTGCAGAATTAGTGTCAAAGTTGTTCCTATTAATGGTATCCAGCATTTCGTCCAGGATAGCAACGATCATGACAGCAGCAGCTTCTGATGGTCTCCATGATTTAGAAAAAATTTTCAATTCACTAACATTGTCTCGACCAATTTTAAAACAAAATTTTGCATGAGGTGAAAGCAGAGTACCTGTAAACAGAGTACCTTAAGTTATGATCGAGTCACATTCGATGCTATCAAAGTGCGCCTTAAATTATGCATCACATGCAGAATCTGATATGAATAAATGGATGTTAGCTGACTCTGAAAGTCAACCACGATGTGCAAAATGATGAAGTGACTCTTATTCTGATTGGTCTTTGTCAGTCACAGACTTATTCGCATAACTAACAGAAAGCTCAACGCTATTCGCTGTATCGTTCAGTGAAAGCAGTGCAAATCAATGTAAAACAAATAGGAATCAAGCAACATAACGAAAAAATGCACCAAAACGAGTGTATCATAGTTCTGTTCTTTCACGAGTGGGTTTTTCATCTGTTGGTTGATATCCTCTTTCAATGACCTGCGCTGCTTTGCCTATTTCTTCAACTGAAACGATACCATCTGCATCGAAATCCAGAATCCACATCACGTCTGGATCCCGCCGTCGACCCTTAACATTCGACTGCTTCTTTTTCACGATAGTTAAATCTTTTTCCATTCTTTCAACGTATTCCAAACGCTCAACTCTGTCATCATTGTTAGCATCAAAATATTGAATAAAGTATCTGGCTGCCAGCTCCGTATCAATGTCAGCTGAAGGCCAATGCTTACCATATTCTTCTTCCAGTACTTTTACGTGTTGTACTATCTGAAATCAAAGATTTCAAAAACACAAATTTTAACAAGATTTATTGAAACTGTTCTGGTAAAAGTTTTTAACAGACAGCAAAATCGATCGCTCCTTTACGTGAGCACCTCATTTGGGGTGCATCTCCAAAAGGAGACCACAGAGTAACCGAGCGGAAACCACAGTTGCTACTACGAACTGATGCGTCAGCGATGGATGAGGCGGACGACATCAACATTTTCGCATAGTCTACATAACGAGTTGTAATAAATCAAGTATGCACTATGTATTTGAATGCAAAGACAAAAGATAAATTATATGTTCAAAGTACCGAATCTGTTTGGCTATGTGTTCCCAGTGCCTCCAGAAAAGAAAGCTAAGCAACTGCTTCTTGCGAATCTGACCGGCAGAAAGCCCAGGGAAGGCCGAGATTAACCTCATGCAAGTATATGGAAGGAGACTGTTCGAGACCCCTGTTGTCTTCTGCCGAAGCTCAGACTCTGGCACGGGATCGGGAACGTTGGAAGCACTGTCTTAGGCGGCCATGGAAGATGAAGATAAAGATGAAGAAATACCA